TAAAGCATGGTCGTCAGAGAGTGGGGCAAGAACATTTACCAACAATCCAGTGGAGAACCTCCAAACATCTGAGCTCTCGTTATAGTTCCCGCATCTCGCCGGGGTCCGACGCTCCGAGCGCAAGCGAGGTTGGCACGCGAAGACGCACGCGCTCGCATGGCACAGCGCTCGAGCCGGAATGAGAGAGCGCGAGAGAGGAGAGCGCGATAAAGTGCCACCGCGCGCTCCTCACTAGTGTTGGGTCGTTCTTGAACGATTCGTTCGTTTTGAACGAATCTTTAATGTGACTCGGGAAGAACGAGTCGTCTCGGGGAGTGATTCGTTGGAAAAAAATATAATCAGAATATCAACTTGCATAATAATTATGCATGCACTGTATTTTTCCTCTTCTGCTGTCGAGGTAATGCAAGGAATGTTGTGATTGGTTGTCAAGGCAGCCAATCAGAATTTAGCAGCCTCGGTCTCTGATTGGCTGGAATTATGGCACATTGTAACGCTGGGTTGTGTTGAGCACGCGAGCTGTTGGCATTTAGCGAGCACAGAGGGGGGGGCATCAGGTGAGCAAGCTAGTGAAACGTTGCACGTGCAAAAGAGAAGGTCTGCACACATCCAAAAACGTATTTTAAATGCAAAATTGATTTCCGTGCGCTCGAAAGACTTTTTTCTTTGCGAAACGAACATTTTCTCCACAAACTCAGATCGCGCGCGTGCAAAATGCACTTTTGTGCGCTCAAAATATGATCTTTCGCGCGCAGAATTATGGCAGAAATGTAAGCCCATAGAAACCGAACAGTATTTATATCATTTTTTACCTCTAATACACCACTATGTCCAACTGTCTTTGAGCGCGCGCACGGCATCCGGTGCGTGAGGTGTGTACGCGCTCTGGCGTAGTTTACGCAAGCGCCGGAAGTGATCTCTCGCGCGTATACGTCACTCATTGTTTACACAGTGCACAGTCATTGTAGGTACGACGGCTAATCAAAATGGTACTTACTTGCGCTTATCCGGATTGTTCAAACCGACTTAAAACTAAAAGATTACGTTCTCTCGCGCGAACTCATTCGGGAGTGATGACTTTCCGCGTATTCCCAACTTCTGAGCCTGCTCGCCTGAAGTTATGGTTGATTGCTCTTCGGCTGGATATCAACACACCCGTTAACGTAAACTACGCCAGAGCGCGTACACACCTCACGCACCGGATGCAGATAAACATCAAATTTTCATTTTTGGGTGAACTATCCCTTTAAGATTTGTACTCATGGAAATGACTAAAGTAGTCAAACCTGTTCATTAGAAGGGGGTGTCCCAATTCTTTTGCCAATATAGTCTACATCAAAAATCCTAATGATTTTTGACCGAAATGGGCACCTCTCTAGGACTATGCTAAAAACCTCTCCTGATGCTCTATTCTCCACATACATTATATTGTTTGTTGCCCTTATTTATTTATTCATTTCAGTCATCATAATACTTGTTTAAGCTTTAGCCATTTATTCAGTCCTCTTATATTCCAGCTGCAAATACTTCTCTCAAAGTGACTGACCATTTACCGTAGTGTTTTGCCCTGTACTGTGTCTGAATGTACAGTAAGGAGAAAGGGAGAGAAAACACACACACACACGTGCAAACAAAGTGAACCCCCATGCATTCCCCCAAACGGAAAGCATAAAAATATCCCCAGGCACAAACTTTGGTTATGAAGAACTTTTGATCCATATTATATGGTGAAAAACTTTGCAAGCCATCAATCATTATTCTCCCCACTGGGCTCGCTACACAACAGTGAAAAATACTAGACCATGAACATGACAAAACACAAGTGTAATTTAAATTGACCCTTGCCCAGTTATGCATTAACATATGCATATAATGAAAAGGACAATGTAATACATCATTATTTCACATATGTTAGGTAATTTTAATAACTCGTAGACCTTTGCTTTATAATGAGTATGAAAATTACTGTTAATTTGTCCCCTCTTGTTTGGATTGCGATGATCCATTGTCCTTCATATCTTTATACCACTCCTTTATTTTTCTAGCTGCTCTCAAAGCCTTCTCCTTATCTTGGTAGTTCAAGAACTTCATCACAACATCTCTTGAAACCGTTGGGTGATATGGGTTAACTTGACCTACTCAATGAGCCTGTTTGTAACAGCTCCTGAAAGTTTTCTTCTTATTAAAAGAATCACTTGAACTAATATCTTGCTTGCAAAGCGTAAGCATCATGGTCATCAGTGTTGGGCAAGCTACTTGGAAAATGTAGTGAGCTAAGCTTGCAGTTACTCTACATTAAATAAAGCTTCACTACACTGAAGCTACTACCCTTAGTAGCTGTATTTCCGATTTAAGCTTGAGCTTCAGAAATGCTTGGAAAAATGTAGCTTGTGTTGACGCTACCGCACAAAGCTTCGCTACTGAAAAGCTATTTGATTAAAAAAACAGCGACACTACCACCACACTATTGAGAAATGTAGTTAACCTAGTAGCGTCACACCTTGTAGCAACACTACTGCCCAACACTGATCATCATCACCACGACATCTTGATCGTATTTCGACAGCACTTGATCATTGGGGACACCCTTTGGATATCATTCAACATCTTGACATCTTTACGTCTTGACACGGTGAAAAACTGAAACAAATAAAATGACATCCAGATACATAATGTGTGAGTGTTTCTGTTCTTACCACAGTTTAACCAAGTCTGTTTCTTTCTGAACCAATATCAATACACATAGTACATTAACTTTGCAAATTAACAGATGAAATCCATAAAATAAACAAACATACCCGTGTGTTCACCTGTAACATGGGGTTTGGGTTTTGTTTCTGGTTTAGGTTTTCATGTCTTTTATTTTGTAGTTTTGCCACAGTCATGAATTCTGTCATGTGTTCCTTGCCCTTCATGTGATCATGTCATGTGCTACTCTTGTCTGTGTGTCATGTTGTGATAGGTTGTTTTAGTCATGTGTCTTGGTTCTCAGTAGGCTTGTTCGAGATGAACTACACTAGCCTGCCACCAGCTGGCGAGAGTAGCCGCTTGCAGTCGGGGCGGAATTAAAAGTGGAGACGTCAAGTTGGACACTTTCTGCTCCCGGTAGCGACGCTTTCACGGTGTTTGCACAGACTTATCACAGATAAAGTGAATTAAATGCAATATTTCTCAAATACAAAGAAACGTTTTTTTGACCAACAGAAACACTTTTTTATACTGCTTAATACAGCGCAATCTGTTCAAGAATAAAGTTCAACATAAACAAATAGGGTACTAAATACCAATAAAGTGGGAGTATATATGCATTTATCAATGTTTTTTTGATAAACATGACTCAAGATAATAGTGCGACTACACTAAAAAAGCTTTTACTGTTATAAAAACACGAATTAGAATTAACACGCAACACATGTCGTGCTTGTCATCACAGAATCTGACCAATGAGAATAAAGCGTGTCGTCATCAAGGCTCCTGCAGCCGATTGCAACTGCAGCGCCTGACCTCGGCGGCTGGTCTCGTTTTGCTCTCGCTTTACTTTGATGGCACATGTGATCGTAAGGCAGTTGCAGCGCCTTAATTTAGAAAATTAGGTTTTTAAAATTAGAAATTTTCTAACCAGAATGCATTGCTTTTGTCAGGCGGCAGCCGATCTTTGCGGCGCCGCATGAACTCGAACAAGCCTATTGGTTATTGTCCTGTCATGTGGTTCTCAGTTCTGTTTGCTCATTGGTTGGTTTATGTCATGTGACCCTTATTGTTTAGTATTTATATCCCTCATGTTGCCATTGTCTCTTGTCGAGTATTGAACTGTGTAATCTGCTGTCTGTGAGTTGTGTTTCTGTTTATGACTAGTCTGTTTCTAGTCAAGTCTGTTCATGCCATGCCAAGTCAAGTCAAATCACCTTTATTTAGATAGCGCTTTTAACAATACAGATTGTGTCAAAGCAACTTTACAGTATCAAATAGGAAAACAGTGTGTCAATAATGTAAAATGACAAGATTAAACATTAAATTTTCAGTTAAAGGCATTTCATTATTGAATTTAGTGATGTCATCGTCCAGCTCAGTTCAGTTTAAATAGTATCTGTGCAATCAAGTCGACGATATCGCTGGAAATTAAGTGTCCCTAACTAAGCAAGCCAGAGGTGACAGCGGCAAAGAACCAAAACTCCATCGGTGACAGAATGGAGGAAAAAACCTTGGGAGAAACCAGGCTCAGTCGGGGGGCCAATTCTCTGGCCAGACGAAACCAGCAGTTCAATTCCAACTGCAGCAAAGTCAGATTGTGCAGAGGACTCATCTGGTTCCCGTGGTCTTGTCCCGATGGCCGTCTAGGTGACGAGGTCTTCACTGGGGATCTGTCTCTGGGCTCATCTAGGTGTCCTGGTCTCCACTGACGTTCAGGTCTGTAGAGGTCATCTCTAGGTGCTGATCCACCATCTGATCTGGATACAGACTGGATCCGGGTGGCTACGGTGATCTCGGAATAAGAAAGAAACAGGCTAATATTAGCGTAGATGCCATTCTTCTTACGATGTAGCAAGTACATCGGTCTTATGGGAAGTGTTCCCGGTTCCGGTTGACCTAATTAATGCAGCCTAACAATCCTATAACGGATTTGAATATTAGAAGCGTATTAGTGTGTTATGTGTACGCTAGGTTAAAGAGATGGGTCTTTAATCTAGATTTAAACTGCCTCCCGAACAGTCTTTGGTAGATTGTTCCAGAGTTTGGGTGCTAAATAGGAGTCCATTTCAAGTCGTTTGTTTCATGTCAAGTCTTCGTTTGTTTGTACTTTGGATTACACTCTGCTTAATAAAACTGCACTTGGGTTAATCAACAACTTGCCTTCATTGGACTTTCGTTACAGCACCTTCTAATCGGAAATCCAGGAGACATTTGTAGGCATTCCTTTTAACAAATAATCTTGGTGTGATTGCTGTGTTAGTGCAGTTCATTTGCATATGTGTGAACGCGGCCATCTGAACCTTGGTGAACACCAAATGAGCAGACCCTTGAAAAGATGGGTCTCAGTCCACTCCCAGACTGGTGCGGTTTGACTAAAATATGAACACCGATCAAAGACATCTAAATGAACCAAAAACTGGACATGATGTCAAAAGATGTGAACAGGACTACATGTATCATTTTATTTTTTGGCCTCGGACCAAATAAACCAAGAGAACCGAACACTCCTAAATAACCAGTTAAATATTTATTAAAAACAAGACCATAAAGCCTCTCCGAGAGCTTTTCTTAAAAATACTTTATGAAGATCTTATATTAAAATCATTCTCATCATAAAGTATTAAATCTGTTGTGTTTTAGTTCAGTTCAGCAGAGGAGATCAGAAGCAGAGCCCAGCCATGTGTCTATGAAGAGTGACTCGTCTATGATTCAGCCAGTAAAGTTTAAGAGTGGAGATACACGGCCTGGTCTCAGGTATAACTGAGTTATATATAATTTGTATACAATTATTATTAATATGGTAATTATTTGATCATGTATTTTCAACAGCAAATTCTTGTGCTTTGTTGTTTATCTGTATCTGATAATGTAAGTTTTTTATATAAACAGTATGAAGGAAATGATTATAAACTGCTCATTAAAGTGAATTTGATAATTATAAATTATTATCTGATTTGTTGAATACAGTAATTTAAAGAATTAGCTTTAATCTCTCCATGTTTTAGTTCAGTTCATCAGAAGAGATCAGAAGCAGAGCCCAGCCATGTGTCTATGAAGAGTGATGCATCTATGATTCAGCCAGTAAAGTTTAAGAGTGGAGATACACGGCCTGGTCTCAGGTACAACTGAGTTATATATAATTTGTATTAAAACATTCTTATTGTATAGTATTTATTTTCAACAAAAAAATCTTCTTGTGCTTTGTTTGTGGGTATTTTTTAAATCTGTATCTGATAATGTAACATACAGAGTATGTGATCGGAGTGGAGCGGCAACAATTTCCCCTCCGCGCTCCGAGCATTTAATAATCACTCCGCTCCGGGTTCACCATTTCCCGCTCCACTCCTCGCTCACTGATATCAGAAACACCGCTCCGCGGCTAAAGTATTTCAGTATGTTTGAAATATCACAGTTCTGTTCATAACGTATATTAAAAGAAAATAATAAAATAAATAAAACGACAGGAGCGTTTCAAAGTGGATTATTGGAACACTAGTGTGCAAACCTATCAAGCTAGCTAAATATGTTTAATGTGAATTCTTGCTAAATGTGCGGTTATATTATGGGCCGTTGGCATGAATTGTACTCGTGATGGAGGGCTCTTGGAGCGAATGAAAACCACGACGTTCCGACTTTTAAAAAATCCACTCCTCGCTCCAGTCAAAATCACACCGCTCCACTCCGCGCTCCGCTCACATACTCTGGTAACATACACACACTCACAAAGCTTTTATATAAACAGTGTGAAGGAAATTATTATAAACTGCTCTTTAAAGTGAATTTGCTAATGATAAATAAATATCTAATTTGTTGAATACAGTAATTTAAAGAATTAACTTTAATCTCTCCATGTTTTAGTTCAGTTCAATGGAAGCGATCAGAAGCAGAGTCCAGCCATGTGTCTATGAAGAGTGACGCGTCTATGGTTCAGCCAGTAAAGTTTAAGAGTGGAGATACACGGCCTGGTCTCAGGTACAACTGAGTTATATATAACTTGTATAAAAATATTATTATAATATAGCATGGCCGCGGGAACTAGGGGTGCTGAGGGTGCTGCAGGGCCAGGTCTGAGATTTTCCTCGTGCCCCTCGATCATCCCCAAGATTTTTGTGATAGTTTTGTGATTAATTATGTATTAAACTGACCAGAAATACATAGCCTAGTACGGTTGTATTTTTCTTGCGCACCTCACGGCGCATATCCCTACATCTCCCCCTCACACTGACAGAATTTCATGTGAAATGTTCATACGATATTACCGTAATTTGACATTCTGACTTGTTAAAACCATTCACGTCCTCGTCCTTTTTATGAGCCATTTTTCAAAGCTTTCTCGCTTCTCAAGATGGCCACCGTCAATCACATAAGCACAGCTCTTTAATTGCGCTCTAGTCTCTTGTCAAACGCGCTCAAACCACTGAAGCCTAATGTAATCTATTAACTACGCACATCATAACGTCTTAGGCAAGTTCCTTTTTATGACAAAATATTTTAATAAGACTGAATTTGTGTTTAACCTGATCACATTTAATAAAAAGACATTTTAAGTTTAATTATAACACCACGTCCACGATTATTCAAACAACGAACAAATTATACAGCGAGCAAAGAACATTTACATTATCAAAGAATATCACTAAATTCAGTCTAGTGTGAGTGTAAGCACTCTTAAAGGGGTCATATGATGCAATTTCAATTTTTCCTTTCTCTTTGGAGTGTTACAAGCTCTTGGTGCATAAAGAAGATCTGTAAAGTTGCAAAGACTAAAGTCTCAAATCCAAAGAGATATTCTTTATAAAAGTTAAGAGTCAGCCACGCCTACCTAAAACGCCTCATTCTAACACGCCCCCACATACCTACGTCACTATGTGGGAAGATTTGCATAACTCCACCCAAATGTTCACACAAAGAAAGAAGGCGTAACTTTTATTCTCGCTGTAGTATTGTTGCTGCCGCCATGTCGTGGAGATGCTGTGTTTCGTTGTGAAAGCAAGAGGGCGATATCTGCTTTGTCATGCCTGGAGCTGATCCGTGCTGGTCGCTGAGGAAATACATCAACATCGCGCTGTGCATCGCCGGATCGGCTTTCACCGTGGACAAAGCGGAGTCCAGCCCGCCTCAGCTACTGCGGTCAAGCCAACCCCTTTAAAAAAGCTAAGCTATAATCAGTGATGTTATCTGCAGTGTATGATGAATTAATCTCTTATTTACATCGCATGTACATCTGCACTTTGTTGTTTCTGATCAGAGAATTTAGCAAAGTGCACTGACCAAAACTTTTGCGTATCAGCGATGTTAATATTTAGTAAAATCCCCTTAAATAATAGAAATATTAAAGAAAAAATGTTGAACTAAAATCACAAAAGCACAAATATATATTGGCTTGCATATAACTCTTCATTTGTATGTTAATCTATAAGAGTTTGGGCTGTTTAATATTAGGATTTTGTCAAAAATCCCCCACCATGGCCCCGCCCTGCAACATCAAGCCCCGCCCCCCAGATAAAATATTTTCCTGCGGCAAATGTAATATGGTATTTATTTGATCATGTATTTTGTGCTTGTGTGTGTTTTTTTGTTATTTTTTTTATCTGTATCTGATTATGTAACACACACAGACAGACACACACAGTTTTTGTAAACATAGGGGTGTCAAACATAAAACCTGTGGGCTGAATACAGTCCACAACATTTTCCATATAAAATAAATAAAACATTATTTTGAAAAATAAGTTTATTCGCTACAATATTATATTTTTAATTTAAAGTGGAACAAATTGCTCATTTATTTGAGATGCACCAGACTTAAGAGATACACCAGACAGCTTTGGACAAGAAAATGAGCTAGGGGTGTGCAATATTTATTGTCTGCTATAATATCATGATTGTTGTTTTAATGACCAAAAAAAAAAAAGCCTTCACTGCAGGATGAAACCTGTAATAATTCAACATATATGGAGGCAAAAATGTCCTGTAAGAGTGCCATTTTCCAGAATATCAGTGCACTCGCAAATGAATTGATTTTATACAACAGTTCAGCAAACAAGATGTCAGTATTAAATGAGTTATATTTTAGAGCCAATATTGTTTTTTTCTGTTTTGCCAGCAAAAATAGTCTTAAACAAAGCCAGAACATCTCTGAGCAACACTGGTGTTTTGTTGCTGAATGAATCTGTTTTTGAACAAATGGACCAATCATAAAGACAGTTGTTTTGTTTCCAAATGAATAAACTCTTATGAATGAATCTTTTTTAATGTGAGTCAATGAATCACTCATTAAGACAGAGATTGCCACTGCCTGGCGGTTATGACAGACCTAAACCAACCACGGTACTAGCTCAAAAACACACTGTAAAATACTGTCTTAATTGTTATCAACAAATTCCCTAAAAATATAGAGAGATCTTTTATTTATTTAATTATTTATTTTGGTATGGCACACTCTAAACATAAAATGAGCTAACATCATCTAAAAAAATAATATTTCTTGTAAATTATACTGTAGTTAGTATGATTAATATTAATTTAATTGTGAGCAAACTGAGGTTTAACAAAAGGTAATTCAGGCTGCATAAGGGGACATTTTCTTTGATCCGACCCTCAACCTAAAATGAGTCTGACACCCCTGGCATAAAGGAAATGTTTTTTAAGTGCTCTGTAAAGTGCTCCTTTTTTCCCAATAGCTGATTTGTTGGGTATAGTAATTTAAAGGAGACATATTATGCCCCTTTTTACAATATGTAATATAAGTCTCTGGTGTCCCCAGAATGTGTCTGTGAAGTTTCAGCTCAAAATACTCCACAGATCATTTATTATATCATTTTGAAAATGCCTATTTTGAGTGGAAGCAGAACACGCTATTTTTCGGGCCTGTTTCTTTAAATGCAAATGAGCTGCTGCTCCCTGATCCCTTTTCCAGAATAGAGCTGCACCATTACAGCTCGTACCTGCTAAAAAACATCTGTTTTGGTTCTGATTATCATGTTTATCGCACTGAAATCATGCGTTTTAAACCATATGAGTTTAAACTTCTGATATACGGTTTTCTGAGAGCACACATCCGAAGCACCAGGACAGAAAGCGGCTGTCACAGCATGTGTGGCAGCAGCAATATACTCATTCACACACAAGTTTACGTTAAAAACACACAAGTTACAAAAACAGTCGGTTATGTCTGTGAAGGTAAACAGCTGGGAAATAAATCGCATGTTTATTTTAGATCTGTGTGGCAGCAGCAATATACATTAAATAAATCAATAAATCCACTGCTCTCTTGTCTCCTCTGAGGCTGGGACTCTAAATAGTGTTCTGTGCAGCCAAAGA